TTGATATATATGCAAAAATGAATATTAGGAACTATATTTATATAGTTTCTGGGCAAATTAAATGTGAAAGTCACTTGCCTGAAGGGCAAGTGGTAAAAATCCTTAGAGTCAACCCCTGTAATGGTCCATCAAATTTACCAGAAATTGATTGTTTGTTTACGTCTCCAGTTACAAATCTGAGGAATTACTGGTATTTTGATGAGTGTTTGTTTTCATATTTTAGGAGGAGTGTGGATCTTCTTATTATGTCAGGTAACGTGTTTGTGTTGCTGTGTTTGCAGGAACGGTGCGTCGGTTCCTGGAGAATCATGGGAACAGCATAGACACAGTGGTGTTCGCCGTGTCGGAGACAGAGGAGGTCTGTATCTCTGATAGGTGCCAGGATAACTGGGTCATTTTTACAAACAACACTCAAAATAACATTCAGTCAAAGTTTTTTTTTTTTTCTTATTTTACCAAGAACAGTTGTTTGTATTTGAAGAATTATGTTTTGTTTGAAGCAGCTGAAGCAGCTTAGCAGCATTTCCTTTAAAATTGTAGTTAATTCTGCAAAGGACAGCAGGTCCGGATCTGTCTACACTGATGTCACAGACTCAAACGTCTGATGTTTAAGGTTGGAACAGCCAGTTATTAGGTTTACGAGGCGAGTTTTTGTTCACAGACTGCTGTGTTGGTTTACTTAAGTTTGTCTAGTTAATCTGGGAAAGCACAGAAATGTTATTGAGGACAAAAACATCTGTTTGTACTGTTTTTTCAGCCTGTGTACAAGAAGCTGCTCCCGCTGTACTATCCACGCTCCAAGGAAGAGGAGAAGGCCTGCCTGCCTCTCATTCCAGCTGACATCGGCAACTCTGAGGGCGAACCTGTGGTTCCAGAGAGGCAGATCCGCATCGCTGAGAAACCGGGCAGCCTGGAAGGTACTCTTTCCCATGGATAGAGCAGAACAATCGGTGTCAAACAGACGTCATGTTTCAGGTGGTTAGAATTAAGACTGGAAACTGAATTGTTTTGACTTCCAGATCAAACATTCATTCTTTGGCTTAAAAGTCCACAAAATAAGCAGATCCATGCAGAATTTGATATATTTCTCCCTTCCAATGATCCCTCCCCAAAGGAAACCAGTTTTTATTTTTCCTTCAGTGTTTCAGCTGAAGGTTTTTTTTATTTATTTATTTTTTTTTTTATTTTGCTCCAAACTCTGTCATCTAACGGATTAGAAATGTTCCTTTTTCCAATGGGTTCTGTAGAAGCCATTCGGTTTGTAATGAAAACATTCAGCTTGTAGCTGCAGCTGGTTTGGTGTAGAAATGTGAAGTTAAAAGAAGTCTCTGTTAAGCTGAGTCTGCAGGGATGAAGTCAGGACTGTATTTATAAAAGAAAAACTGTGATTATCACTAATCTTCAAGCTCTAGAAACCTGTTCTTCTAATTTGTGAAAGATAAAGCACAGAGAAAGAGATAAAGTCAGGAGTTCAGACCAAAATCGTTAAGACAGGAGGCATGTTTGATTCTAAATAAAGGGTGATGGATGGATTCACTGATTGGATATTTTCTGTTTTTATGACCCACTGATTCTGGATGGATATAAAAGACTTTCCAAACAAATGGGAAGAAATATTCTGCCGGATTTTTGATTACCGTATTTTCACGACTATAAGGCGCATATAAACGTCTTTTTTTTTCCCCTCAAAATGTGCGGTGCGCCCTTTGGTGCGGTGCGCCCTATGTGTGTTGTTACTACGGACTTTTGAGACCACCTCATTGAGGAGATGATGAAAGAGTGGCTGAGGGAGGTGAATGTAAGGAGACCAGGTGGTTTTTTCCACTCATCACTATTGCTGTTATTCTGTGACTCCATGCGTGCCCATCTCACAGCTGATGTGAAAAACACGGTGAAACAAATGAACGCTGTGCTTGCTGTTATTCAACCGCTCAACATCGGTGTGAACCGGACGCAGCAGGTGCAGCAGAAGCAGCGATTTAAAATGCAAAGTCAATGGTTGGCGCGCGTATAGGCGCAGCAAAAGGTCCCGCAGCGCGCTTTGAGCAGCAGGCGCAGCGCGTCGGGAGCGTTTAAGCATCTGACGTGCTTGATGCGCCACCAACGCGCTGCTGCTGCTCGAGATGGAAAAATTTAAGTTTTGATTGAAGCTGATCTGGGAGCTGACAGCGAGACAGACACATTGCTGATGATACACATATAGGAGCGCTGTGATCGCTCCTCTGAAACAGTTTATTGACACCTAAATTAACTTAACCTGCCGACAGAATATGTTCGCTTTTATTATCCAGTTTTCAGGTGGATTTTCCCGCTTAAATACATATTAAAACTACTTTATTCCCACTGATCACAGCAAATATAGCTACAAGGCAAAGAAAGGAATGCCACCGTTTGCGGATGGATTGTAGATGCTTGGACTAACGTGTCTGCTGGCTCTGTTGTTCGAGCTTTCGCAAAAGCCGGCATTATTTCCGAGG